TTGTCCAATGCAGCGTCGCAACGAGCGCCATGTGATCGGACGGGTAGCGGTGGGATGGAAGGCGGCATGCCTCCATCGACTCGGGCATCTCGGCGATCGCAGTGACTGCAAGCGACGCGCTCGAATAGAAAATGTAGTCGATCGTGTGCTTGGCTTCCTTGCCCGGACGCACCTTCCACGTCGTGTACCTAGCCATGACGTTGATTCCTCAGTGCTGGACGAGCTTGACTATCATAGCAGCTAAATGTGTACGCTGGTTCGCGGCCGTCTTGGCAATAGGCACTGGCATACCCATAGTCCTCGACCATGGTCGCGTACGTCGTCGCAGGCATCGCGGGCGTCGGAAGCGATACTGCGTTAAAGTCACCGCACACTACAATCGCATGGCCAGCGCCTTGCTTGGCACTGAGGGCACGGCAGAGCATGGCAGCTTCTTGGGTCCGGATAGCTTCGCCAGCCGCGTCCTTGGCGGCCTTGAGATGCGTGCAGGCAACGAGCACCTCGTGCGTCGAGTCGTGAAGCGCGAGCTCGACAAGGAGAGCGACTTGGTTTTGCGGCTGGTGCGTCGTCGTATCGGGCGGGACGTAGCAGGCGTACGAGAGCACATCGTGGCGGACGATGCGAAAACGAGTGTTGACAAACACGGCACAGCCATCGCGCTGGTCGCTGACTTGGAGACATGGCGAGTGGGGCTTGGGCGCAAAGACGCCAGTGTAGCCTTGCGCGGCGAGCTGCGGCTCGAACCAGTCGTAAAAGTGGTCGACTTCTTCCAAGCACACAATGTCGGGTGCGAAGCGCAGAATCTCATCGAGAAGACTACAAGCGACGAGGACACTATTGCGGTGTCGAATAGAAAGGACGTACGGCTGCCGGCGATGGGCCCACGCCAAGGACCCGGGCGGTGCGAGCGTAAAGCCGCCGAGGTCGTCGCGGAGACCACTTAGCCCATCCGCGAGCACGTTGAACTGGACGATGGTGAACGAAGGCGTGTCCGAGGCTGCGGCCAGCGATCGAAGGTGACGCGGGTAAAGCCCAGCCATGGGGAAACAGCAATATCATGTTTGGGAGGTCAGAAAAGATTTGCACATCAAGTTTCTTGGTGATCCCGGCCAACTACAGTATGCGACCCAAGCCGACTTTGTCCAGTGTCTTCTCGCGGTTCACCTCGGCAATGGCACCACTGCGCTAATGGGCTAATGGGAGACGGCATCTCGGGCATGGACGTCACCTTGTACAGCATCATTGCATACAACGCGCTGGTGCGCACACCCGGGCGCGGGTGCTTCGCGACGCGAGCGTGAAGTACTGATGACGCCCAGGCCATCGCAGCACGTATCGGCGAGTACGCCTCATACCGGGGTAACGTTGACTCGGTTTGCGACAGGCCATTGAGACCCCAGTCGTTTGCGTGCGTCACGACGGCGCAATGGTGCGGGCAAGATCTTTGACGTGGTCGTTGAGATGGTGGGAGCAAGGCCCAGACCACGGCGTTGTCGGGCGGCACCGTCGTCTGTGCTCTTGCCGTCATGGACCTGGCGCTCTACTTCAAGAAGCAAAAGAGTACGCTCAAGACCAAGACGACGACCGCGGCCGCGCCACCCAACGTCGAAGAAGCCACGGCTAAAGTGGAAGCCACTAGCGAATCAGGTCCTGCGAAAGCGGTTGCAGCGTATCGCCGCCGATTGAGTTCGTTGAACGGAGCGTCAAAGTACACAATATCTGTTCGTGTGCACCCTCCGCGTAGTACGTATGCATAGGACGTCGCGTGGCCGAGCGTTTTTAGCAAGCAGATGAGAGGCCCGATACCGCAGTTTTTTCATGTCAGAAGCCATATGCTCGACACCACGTGCCCATCAGGGAAAAGGGGTGAGTGTAGTGGGGGAAGGTTAGGAGTGCTAGGAGCCTCGTAGCGCGCGGGGAGGAGGGGGTTGGAGGCGAACCTTGGGGCTTTCCGGGAAGGAGGTGTCTCTTATTGTACGAGCTCGACGGACTTTCGCTCTCGCCATGTACTGTCCGTCGATTGCACTGTATGGTGGCGGCATACATTGGCAGCAGCGGGTGGCGTGCACCCACTGCTGTCGGGTTGTGACATCTGTTTGCATCGGGACGCACCGCGATATTCAGTCATTGACCGACCTCTGGCGCAAATCTCTGGCGCCCGCTCTAGATTCGTCGAGCTTTGCGGTAGTTTGTACAGCCATCGTCCACAGCTCTATCGTCCACGACGAGAATACGTGCAGCGTCCAAGCGTTTCGCGCTGTTGCGTGCGTTGTGGTGCGTTGCCGCAAATCTAAGCATTGGACGTAACTGCAGAGTTCACGTCCGCAAGCAATGTGCTGCAATTTAAAATCTTTTAAATCACATTTCTTGGGTTTAATTGTAGGAAACGGGATGCGGAGCGCGTGCATCGAAGTGCCGAGGATGGGACACGTGCTGCGACCATCCGTAGGCATGCAGCGCTTCTCGCGATCGAGCAAAACACTGGAGAAAGTACGCACCTGCCGCCGACTATACGACAGAAAGCGCCATTGCTCGACGTTTGCTCTGTCGTGTATTTTGACGCCGGGGGCATGGACCATGGACGATCGCCAGCAGTATCTTACGTACCACAGCCTCGTCCATGCGCAATGACAACCATCTGGTGGCGCCAGATGGTCTGCCGCTGGCAGCGATCGTGGCCGACGTATTTGCCGTTCCGTTGGCAGCTCACTTTTCAAAATGCGCCCTGGTCTCTTTGCCCCCGCTCTCGCACTCGCCGCAGCGACGTCGCCCACCGAGTGGCACCCGTGCCCTCTCTACTCGGACGTGGGCACCGCGGCCAAACACAAGACGTACGAAGCACAGTACAACTTCACGGCCGAGTGCATTGAAATGTCGGCGCCGGTCTGCTACCCCGGCGTGTGCGAAGGGTCCGAGACGCTGACGCTCTTTCTCAAGCGCATTCCCGCCACGCACCCGACGACGCCAGCCAAGGCCGTGTGGCTCATGCAAGGCGGTCCCGGTGCGCCATCCGATGCGAGTAGGGTTTTTCGGCTATTTTCTATGATTTAACGCTCGCGACTACTTAGTGGAGCCATCCATGGCGCAGATCTACGAAGCTGCCAATGGCACCATTAGCCTCTACACGATGGACCACCGTGGTGTCGGCCGCAGTTCGCCCTTAACGGCCCTCTGCCCTGATTTGGCGACGGCCGAGATCGAGACGCTTGACACAGCGCACACCGAGTGCTTCAAGAAGCTCAAGGCCAAGTACGGTACGACCACTACTGGCATCTATACGAGTTCGATGCGACGGATGCCGTTGTAGGGCCCAACGCTCCCAAGGGCTTCTCGGTCACGAGTGCAGCGACAGACCTCGCGACGATCATCCAGAGCCCGCTTCTCGCTGCTTCGGACGTTTTTGTCTACGGCGTGAGCTACGGCACGTACCTCACGGAGCGTTTGATGCACCTTGCGCCCAAGAACGTCAAGGGCTACATCCTCGACAGCATGCTCGCCGAGAGCCCGTTGAGCACGTTCAGCGACTGGGACCGCGACGTTGCGCACGTTGGTACGTGGACCCTACCCTCGTAGCATGTAGAGACTAATTCGTCGTTTTCGTATTTAGAAAAGGAGTACTACCACCTTTGCGACAAGGACCCCGTGTGCTCGTCCAAGCTTGGGCCCAACTCGAAGCGATTCGCGTTTGATTTGTACAAGAAGCTCGACGCGAACGACACCGAGTGCGCTCAAACGATCTACGCAGAGAAGGGTCTTCCGTCCGACTTTGTCGGGTCGACGCTCGCCGGTATGCTGACCAACTACAACCAGCGCAACTTGGTGCCGGCAATCCTCTACCGTCTCGCCAAGTGCGTCATCGACGTCGAGAGCGAAGCCACGTTCCTCACTGGCTTTCTTGGCCTCACCTCGGAGGCCGACGACACCGAAGGACGTGATGACATTGTGCCCGGGGACGCTGAGACGGGCGAGTCGGTCAGTGACGACATTCTCTACAACAACATTGTCTATAATGAGATCTGGGAGTCGCCGGCGCCGTCAGTCGAGCGCCTCAACGACGACTCGTCCAAGCTCACGTGGCGCAGCAGCACCAACGTCTCGACGCTTCTCAAGGTCGGCAAATACTGCCTCTACACCGGTGGCAAGGACGCCGTGTGCAAGCAGTTTGAGATCACGCCCGGCTTCGAGTCATTTGCGTACGCCCACGACCAGTACTGGAACAAGACGGCGGCTGTGCCCGCTGGTGCCAGCGCTCTCTTGCTCTCGGGTGGTCTTGACATTCAGACTATCCCCAAGTACGCCGTGGCCCAGAATGCGTCGATGGTCGGCGACAAGAAGCTCCTTTTGCAGTTCCCGTTTGGCGGTCACAGCATCATTTCGACGACCAACACGGACCCCAAGGTAGAGGGACAGGTTCTCCGGAAATATGTAGACTCATTATCTATGACTCTAGGACACGACCAAGAA